AGGGCTGTGTGGCCATCTCTCTATCAAATGGCAATTTTAATGCGCTATCCTGGTCGATCACAAACACCTGCGGACCTTAACCAAGGTTCCCCTAAAGTCGCATTCGTTTGTGAATGGATCTCGGCCAGTGGAATAGGCCTTCTCATTGAGTCTGTGTTCTAAGGTAGGATCCTACGGTAGGACTTGAATTTGGGTCTACCGGTCATGAGTCTGATGTGACAATCACTAGGCTACCAGTGACCAGTCGAAAATTGCATTTATTGTAAACCGAATCATGGACCAAAGAAACATCTCTGTAATTTATGCATGAACTACTCATAGAACAAATACAGTAGTACAGAATTTTAATTATTTTTTTGTAGGGTACGTTTGTATTTGACACTGGTCGGCAGGAATTAAGTCAGTGTGATGAGTGTACACCTGGAAAGTACTGTTCATCAGTTGGTTTGCAGGAAGTGAGTGGAGACTGTCAAGCAGGGTATTACTGTCTGGCTGGTTCAAATACATCAACTCCAGTAAGTACTTCCATTGTCAGATTGTAGTGAAATGAAAGGAAAGGTGTAGTACATAGTTGAACAAATTTTTTTTTCTGATCATTTAAACAGGTATTGATTATTGATCAGTATAATTTATTATCTTGTCAAAATTTGAAGTATATTTTTTAAAGGGCTGTGATCGTCGCACAGCGTCCTGTTCAATATGGGACTTATAGCAAGGTACGCAACATATGTAAAATACATTGTTTGCTTACCGGTACATGAAATTTGTACAGGCATGACTGTAAATGGTAGATTTTCATAATTTTAAGACATTCATGAAAACACAATCTCATGAAAGTTGCTGACAATCTGTGTTGCTGGACTGACTCACAAAATTCGCGAAAACTTGTCTCCTGCTAAATTAAAATGGTTTAATCCATTTTTCTTAAAAAAAGTTTTTAGTCCATGTTTGGACGCAGTCCGAAAACGGGGACTTATGTTTTGACCTCCGTGTGTGCGTGCATGCGTGCGTGTGTGTGTGTGTGCGTGCGTGCGTCTGTGCGTGCGTCCGGACCTGTATCTTAGAAATGCCTGGACCAATCACAATCAAACTTCACACATACATCATACATGATATTATACATATGCACGTCAATTTGTTTCACGATCTGATTCAAGATGGCAGAATGGCAGCCATTTTTATGCTAAAAATCATCAAAATCAACCATTTCTCGGCTGTTTACAGATGGATTTTGTTCAAACTTGGTATATACATTAGACATTAGAGGACCTTGATGCACATCATTTTGTTTTACGATCTGATTCAAGATGGCCGAATGGTGGCCATTTTTGTGCTAAAAAATCCTAAAAATCAACTATTTCTCGGCTGTTTACAGATGGATTTTGTTTAAACTTGGTATATACATTAGACATTATGGGACCTGGATGCAAATAATTTTGTTTTTCAGATAAGATTCAAAATGGCTGACTGGCGGCCATTTTGTATTAATGAATGTGGTTCTCGTGCCATATCTTTGACTTGCTTTCACTGATTATGTTCAAATTTTAAATATTCATTATACATCATGTCATAGATAGACAGATATATTGGTTTGACGATCCTATTCAAAATGGCCAAATGGTGGTCTTTTTTTGTACTAAACAATCATCAAATATCAAGCATTTCTTCCATTTATGGATGGATTTCATTTAAACTTGGTACATATATTAGACATTACAGGTTCCTGATGCACGTCATTTTATTTTTCAGATCAGATTCGAAATGGCTGACTGGCGGCCATTTTGTTTTAATGATTGGGCTTCTAAAGCCATATCTCTTAAATGCTTTGACTTATTATATTTAAATATTATATATTCGTTATACATCATGTTATATATATATACACATGTATTCAAAATGGCTGATTTTGAATGCAGTTCCAGAGCAATATCTCTCAATATGGACAAGTACTTGTATTTGTTTATTTTTTGCAGACACCAGAGTCAGGTATGGGTGATGTCTGTCCTGTAGGTTACTACTGTCCAGCAGGTACCGTAGGACCATATGAATACCCATGTGGAAATGGTACATATAACAATGTTACACAGGCTATGAGTGTTGATGACTGTCTTGATTGCCCACCTGGTGAGGTCTGTGAAGGCATGGCATTGGTTGGACCAACTGGTCTATGTGCAGCAGGTATGTTAGCAATGAACAACCTAACCCCAGCATCACATCTGTAAGCAAACAGGGGAATGCCTGGCTGGTAAACTGAATTCACTGACACTATAATCATAAATAACTTGAATAACTGTACATTACTTACCATCGTCCAAATTGGCATGGTAATGTTGGCATTGATCTATGAGCCTCCCCTCACTGGACATGCAAGTCCACAAGAGGAGGCTGATCAGCGTTGGTATTTTTAAATTTAAAATTGTATTTTTAAAATAACCTTTTCATTTTTTATTTCTTACCATTGATAATGCACTTCATTTCATACACAATTTGATACACTCTCAATAAATGTATCTTAGCTGTGTTCCTTTCCTATGTGTTTCAGTTCTTAAAAAAACCTGGCATAATTGAAAGCAATGGTGTGATTACAATTAACACTTTGTCACATTTAGCTACAGAAAGAGGCTTCATGATTTGTAGTGACATCTAATCGGTTGACATTTTTCACCAAAATTTAACAATTGCCTGCTGAGGGCGCTGTCTAAATATGCAAATATGTAGTGCTGTCAAGGTTTTTTGTTGTGAGGGTATCCTACAGCCAAAAAAACATATAGACGGCAAAGAAGATTACTTCCTCTTGCTGTCCTATTCATTGAAAACATCATTTTTGTTTTTCCAGGTTATTATTGTACAAGGGCTGCATATACAAAGTATCCAGATGCCTTGTTAGATGCAGGAACAGGCGCTATATGCCCTATGGGACACTATTGTCCTCAAGGTTCACCAGCACCTAAACGATGTGAAGGAGGATATTATACTAATATCACTGGACAGGAAGAATGTTTTGATTGCCCTGCAGGTAATAATTGATTATTTTTATAAGGTTTATTGTGAGAATACAGCAAAGTGTAGTTGTGAGGAATACACACATGCAGACTTGTATTGGAATTCATTGTGACTGTTTAGTGTATATGAGTGCATACTTTATTTTTGCATTTTATTGAACATTCTGCATGGTAATGGAATAAAAGCAGGTTTTGATGTAATTTATTGGTGATATATTTAGTAAAAACTGTATGCAGGTAAATATAAAAGTCAGATGATCAATATAGAGCTGCCTATGTGATCATAGAAAATCCACTTCTTAATTTGGTCTGGTGACACCCATGCTGAAAATAATACTGTTTCAGTGATTTGTGACTTTAAATAAAATAAAATTGAAGGCATACACATTGTGCACTTGTACGTCTCTTAGGCCTACCACACACCACTCTCTAGTACGCTGCTGTTGATTCATATACGATAGGCTACAACTAGTACACAACATGATAGATTTTTGTCACATCCTGGATTCCGAGCACGTTCAATTTTATCATATTTGGGTGATCAACATTCCCAGTTATATTGCATCATGGGATAATTCGAGTTAAGGCAACCGTATCATGTTGCTAGAATTGCGATTATCACATTGTAGAGAAGGCAGTGTTCAGCAAGCTTTATAAATACATACTGTAACACTACAATATTTCACATTGATATTTGTGTAGGATTTTACTGTGCTGATGGTGAGACACTACTACAGTGTCCAAGAGGAAACTACTGCCCACAGAATACTGGCGGTAATGAATTTATACCATGCCCTAGAGGTTATTATAATCCAGATTTAGGATTAGCTTCTGAAGATCAGTGTTTGCCGTGTGCTCCTGGTAAATACTGTACCGCATTGGGTGCATCAGATTTCCAGTCTATCAATGCATCAGCTGGTCCTTGTGATGCAGGCTACTACTGTGTACTCGG